ACAAACTTTGTAGCCCTTCATGTCAGCATGCTACTGGCCAAATATCATCACCCTGGGCATTTTGGTTATTCAGAAGAAGTTGTTTAAAGTTTTTTTAAGACAATTGACCCCTGTGACCTTGAATATAGGTGAAGGTCATTTATTTGAACAAACTTTGTAGCCCTTCATCCCAGTTTGCTTCTGGCCAAATATCATCACCCTAGGCCTTTTGGTTATTAAGAAGAAGTCGTTTAAAGTAAAATATTGACGCCGGACGCCGCACCACGGCATAAGCTCACTTGGCACTTCGTGCCAGGTGAGCTTAAAACACTTCAGATCAAATTAATTCACAAAATAACTTGCCCTATACTATTTATGTAAACAAAAATATGACAAGATTTTATTTTTTGAAACATAATATTCAATTCTATTAATATCATAATTCAACCCTGTTCATCACAAAATCTTGTACATAATGCAATATTTGTGTCAATTCAATGTCAACCATTCAATATTGCACACCATTCAAACTTGTACAAAAATGAAAGTCACAAAGGATACAGACAAAGATTGTTAACATGACATACAAAAAGTTAAATACCCTAGAAAAACATAAACAAATAATTTGTATACAGTGTTTGTGTGTCCTACAAGATAAGGAAGAGAGATGAATACCTCACACATTGGTAAATATAAATATTGAATTGTTGGCTAGCTATAATTGGTAACTCTTTTACTGCGTTATCATCAGCTGTTTGTGGAGTCTTCTGTGATTTGACTCGTGTTCCCATCATTGTCGCCCTGAATCGAGACCTCCTCTCGCTTCGTCAACTGTTCCTGCCACATACCGGCATAGTGATCTCCCTTGGCGATCAACTCTTCATGTCTAAAAGTAGAATCGAGAACATTAATCAAATTTCACATATCTTGAAACATCTGGCTGATTCTTTCATACCTACTTGACTGTTTTTCTTACATATTATAAGTACAACCATTTGTTAAATAACATCAATACAATAAACCCTTGATACAAGAGGCCAAGAAGGCCTGTATTGCTCACCTGGATACCTAAGCAATCATGGCAAAATATTCTCCAAATGAGATCAAGGGAATATGCCAGACCCCAAGGCCAATCCTTGTAGCATATCTGTATTAGATTTTTCATGCCTAGCAATTTTATGTATGGTTATGGGGTGGGGATCTCAACTGCTTCCAAGCTTTGACTCAGTAACAAGGTCCCTAGAGTTGTGGCCAGACCCCAGGATCGATTCTAACATCGTGACTGCATTTGTCTCTTTTTGCCCAGCATTTGTATATATAGTTTTGGGGTGGGGATCTCAACCGTTTCAAAGTTATGACCCAGGGGCCAAGTCTGCAAGGGTGGGGCAGACCCTGGGATCAATTATAATATCATGACTGCATTCGTCTCTTTATGCCCAACAATTGTATATATAGTTTTGGGGTGGGGATATTAACCATTTCGAAGTTATGACCCAGGGGTTAAGTCTCCAAGGGTGGGGCAGTCCCCAAGGCCAACCTGGAAGCATATTTGCAATCATCTCTTTATACTCAGCAATTGTATATATACGGTTATAGGGTGGGGCTCTCAACTGTTTCCAAGCTGTGACTAAGAAACTAGGTCCCTAGGGGTTCGGTCAGACCCCAGGGTCTATTCTGATATCATGATTGCATTCGTCTCTTTATGCCCAGCATTTGTATATATAGTTTTGGGGTGGGGATCTCAACCGTTTTAAAGTTATGGCCCAGGGTGGGGCCAGACCCTAGGGACATCTTGGAAGCAAATGTGCATTCTTCTCTTTATACTCAGCAATTGTATATATGGTTATATGGTGGGGATCTCAACCATTTCCAAAAAATACATTTTATTGGCCCCACCCCTTAGCCCGGGGGGTCAGCCCCACCATTTGTACAATTTTGAATACCTGCCTCCCATGAATACTTCCGACCAAATATGATCAATATCCATGGCATAGTTCTGCAGAAGAAGTCGTTTATAGCAATATAACCAAATTGCCCACTATTGGCCCCGCCCCTCAGCCCACTGGGGGGTCAGCCCAACCATTTGTACAATTTTGAATCTCTACCACCTACAGATGCTTCCAGTCAAATATGGTTGATATCCATCACTTAGTTTCAGAAAAGAAATCGCTTGCAGCAGTAAAGCCAAATACCCTTTTTGGCCCTGCCCCTCAGCCCCCTGGTGGGTCAGCCACACCATTTGTCCTTTTTTAAATCCCTGCCTCCCAGGAATGCTTTTGATCAAATATGATTGATTTCCAGTGCACAGTTCTACAGAAGAAGTCGTTTGTAGCAAAATAGCCAAATTGCCCCTTTTTGGCCCCGCCCCTAAGCCCCCTGGGGAGTCAGCCCCACCATTTGTACAATTTTTAATCACCACCACCTAGGGATGCTTCCAGTCAAATATGGTTGATATCCACCTCTTAGTTCCAGAGAAGAAGTCGCTTAAAGCAATATGGCCAAATTGACCCCTTTTGGCCCTGCCCCTAAGCCCCCTGGGGAGTCAGCCCCACCATTTGTCGATTTTTAATCACCACCACCTAGGGATGCTTCCAGTCAAATATGGTTGATATCCACTTCTTAGTTCCAGAGAAGAAGTCGCTTAAAGCAATATGGCCAAATTGACCCCTTTTGGCCCCGCCCTCAGCCCCCTGGGGGTCAGCCCCACCATTTGTACAATTTTGAATCTCCACCACCTAGGGATGCTTCCAGTCAAATTTAGTCTAATTCCAACCAGTGGTTGAGAAGAAGAAGTCGTGTAAAGAAATTGTTGACGTACGGACGACGGACGCCACGGTATGGCATAAGCTTGCCTTGGTCCTTCGGACCAGATGAGCTAATAATGGCCCTCATTTCATCTGCCAAAAATCTTGCTTCTCATCAGCGTATGTCAAGGCCCTCTTTCCCTTTCTTGACCTACATCTGCTTTTTATGTCCTTTTTGATATATCCCCAAACCCCTTCATAATGCCAATATTTGCAACAGTGGCAGTAAAAGAGGTCTTATACAAAGACGTACAAGGATACATACATTAAATTCTAGCTGTGATTTGGCTTAAAAAATAGCCCTTAGAACTCAATTAACATGCGTTTTTTTACAAATAATAAAATGAAAAACTAGAATGTTTGTAAAAGATTCATATCCCCTATTTCCTGTTATGATGAAATGGAGCAAATGTCTATCTTAGGGATCCCTGACCCAATGCACTGTGATGTTTCTTATATGCAGTAACCTCCCCTTAACTTCCGTTTGGATATAACTCTAGAACAATCATACCCGGTAGCTCAATTTTGTTTATTTCATCTTTATTATTTCTCATTAAAGTCCTGCAAGGTATGGTGTTGTTTTCAGAAACAATTTATTAAAGCTGTAGTAATGCCCGGAATACCAGTTTTCAATACTTAGTTACAGTTTTTGGCAGTGGTACGGGGATCCTTAAGTCAGTGAGGCAGGAAACGTAGGTCTCAATGTACTGGTGTGCTACACAAGATCATGACTGTTGAACTTCTATTACTAGAACTAAACACAAAGTCAAACCAAGTGGTCTTACTGACTGATGTAAATTTTGTTTATAAAAAATATGGGTGGTCAGGTGGCGCAGTGGATAACGCACTCGCCTTTTACCAAGGTGGCCGGGTTTGATTCCCTGGTATGGGGTCACCTGCCCGACCACATGGGGTTTTTCCAGGTACTCTGGTTTCCTCCCACAGTAGACCCCCCACACACTTACATCCGGGCTAACAAGAGTGATAAGTATAAGTTATACAACTTGTTTCATAATTAATGTAGAGAAATAAAGTTTATATTTATAAACTGACTGATGTACAGATGGGCTGACAGATAAGGCTAACGAGTAGTTCTCCCTGCACAGATGGGCTGACAGACAAGGCTAACGAGTAGTTCCCCTTTTCGGATGGGCTGACAGATAAGGCTAACAAGTTGTTCTCCCTGCACAGATGGGCTGACAGACAAGCCTAACGAGTAGTTCCCCCTGCACAGCTGGGCTGACAGACAAGGCTAACGAGTAGATCCCCCTGCACAGATGGGCTGACAGATATGGCTAACGAGTAGTTCTCCCTGCACAGATGGGCTGACAGACAAGCCTAACGAGTAGTTCCCCCTGCACAGCTGGGCTGACAGACAAGGCTAACGAGTAGGTCCCCCTGTACAGATAGGCTGACAGACAAGGCTAACGAGTAGATCCCCCTGCGCAGATGGGCTGACAGACAAGGCTAACGGGTAGTTCCCCCTGTACAGATGGGCTGACAGCCAAGGCTAACGAGTAGTTCTCCCTGTACAGATGGGCTGACAGACTAGGCTAACGAGTAGTTCCCCCTGTACAGATAGGCTGACAGACAAGGCTAACGAGTAGATCCCCCTGCGCAGATGGGCTGACAGACAAGGCTAACGAGAAGGTCTCCCTGCACAGATGGGCTGACAGATAAGGCTAACGAGTAGTTCCCCCTGCTCAGATTGGCTAACAGACAAGGCTAACGAGTAGTTCTCCATGTACAGATGGGCTGACAGACTAGGCTAACGAGTAGTTCCCCCTGTACAGATATGCTGACAGACAAGGCTAACGAGTAGGTCCCCCTGTACAGATAGGCTGACAGACAAGGCTAACGAGTAGTACCCCCTGCACAGATGGGCTGACAGATATGGCTAACGAGTAGTTCTCCCTGCACAGATGGGCTGACAGACAAGCCTAACGAGTAGTTCCCCCTGCACAGCTGGGCTGACAGACAAGGCTAACGAGAAGGTCTCCCTGCACAGATGGGCTGACAGAAAAGGCTAACGAGTAGTTCCCCCTGTACAGATAGGCTGACCGACAAGGCTAACGAGTAGTTCCCCCTGAACAGATGGGCTGACAGATAAGGCTAACGAGGAGTTCTCCCTGCACAGATGGGCTGACAGAAAAGGCTAACGAGTAGTTCCCCCTGTACAGATATGCTGACAGACAAGGCTAACGAGTAGTTCTCCCTCTACAGATGGGCTGACAGACTAGGCTAACGAGTAGTTCCCCCTGCACAGCTGGGCTGACAGACAAGGCTAACGAGAAGGTCTCCCTGCACAGATGGGCTGACAGAAAAGGCTAACGAGTAGTTCCCCCTGTACAGATAGGCTGACCGACAAGGCTAACGAGTAGTTCCCCCTGTACAGATATGCTGACAGACAAGGCTAACGAGTAGATCCCCCTGCACAGATGGGCTGACAGACAAGCCTAACGAGTAGTTCCCCCTGCACAGCTGGGCTGACAGACAAGGCTAACGAGAAGGTCTCCCTGCACAGATGGGCTGACAGACAAGGCTAACGGGTAGTTCCCCCTGTACAGATGGGCTGACAGCCAAGGCTAACGAGTAGTTCTCCCTGTGCAGATGGGCTGACAGACAAGGCTAACGAGTAGTTCCCCCTGTACAGATAGGCTGACAGACAAGGCTAACGAGTAGTTCCCCCTGTACAGACAAGGCTAATGAGTTATTCCCCCTGCACTTAATTGCGAAGTTTTGACTTACGTTCCCCTTTCAATGATCTCGCCCTCTTTCATCACCAGGATCTGGTGCGCATGGATAATAGTAGACAGGCGATGTGCTACAATGATAGTGGTTCTGTTCTCGCAGACACGCGCTAGAGACGCCTGGATATTTCTCTCGGTCTTTGTGTCTAATGCAGACGTTGCCTGGAAAATACACCAAAAAAGAAATTTACAATCTTAGCTATCTACAAAGGTATGCAAAAAAAAAATGCCATTAATTTTGTTGTTTAAGATTTTAAGTCCTTACTGGTAAAACAAATCCAACATATCTTTTTTATGAACAATAGCATACATCTATTACCTAGTCTAGTCTCCTTTCGCATATCTGGTTCCACCGGTTTGTCTGTTTTTAAATTTAACATTTTCTGATATAAATACTAGCAGATCTGCAAATGTTTTTGCAGGCTTTGCAAGGCTTTGTCAAGGCTCGCCTGAAAGCAGCATCAGATTACTGGATCCAAACTTATTTCATAAACTCTGGTTCAAACATTTGGATCATGATAAACGAACGCTTGTGTTAAGAGTAATCTCCCTTTATAGTTTTTAAATATGCATTACCTTAGAAGTAAGACTGACCTGGTTCTTGTTGGTGTGTTCATATATATAAGTGAACAAGTCAACTTCCCCATACAAAACAGACATTTTACAGTTTTCTTAAAGTGGAACTCTTATGAATTGGAGGTGTAGGCCACACCTGTAGTACATGTACCCTTAAACTCTTGTAACCCTTAAACTATTTTCACCAGAATATCAAGACATGTTAGGGATATAGACTGTCACTACCTACCTCATCCAGTAAGACAACGGCTGGTGACTTAAGAAGTGTTCTCGCTATGGCAACTCTCTGTTTTTCTCCTCCACTCAGTTTTAACCCTCGCTCTCCGACTACTGTTTCGTATTCTAAGGAAAGAAACATGACATAATATCTGAAAGGGTACCAATATTATTTTTTCAGAAACAAGCGAAACATCTTTGTTTTCAGGATGAAATGGTTAAAAGTTTTAGTTTATTTTTGTGAAACCAAATTACCAAAATAAAAAAGAATTTCCTCTTTTGTTTGAATGTTCATGTTCACAAGTTTTGCATAATTTTTCATAAACGATACATTTAAATTAATAAGCCAGACAATAGAAGAATTTGACCTAAGATTTCGAAAATATTTACATTTTGAGAAAACAAAAAGTGTAACTTACTATTTGGAAATGATAAGATACGGCTGTGTATGTCAGCATTATCTGCGGCATCTTCTACTTCCTGGTCAGTGGCTGCGAACTTGCCGTAACGGATGTTATATCGAATGTCAGAGTTGAACAGCACCGTATCCTGTGGTACAACACCTATACACTGTCGCAACGACTCTTGTTGTACCTGGCCAAGGTCAAGGTCAAATATCATTAATATAGTTATGAATTATTTAATTAAGAATTAAAAGTAACACAAATGACATGTTAAGATGTTATACAGCAGATCACATACACCTAGGCTTTTAACTGAGCTCCAGAGAGAATGTATGACCTAGGCTTTTAACTGAGCTCCAGAGAGAATTATGACCTAGGCTTTTAACTGAGCTCCAGAGAGAATGTATGACCTAGGCTTTTAACTGGGCTCCAGAGTGAATGTATGACCTAGACTTTTAACTGGGCTCCAGAGTGAATGTATGACCTAGACTTTTAACTGAGCTCCAGAGAGAATTATGACCTAGGCTTTTAACTGAGCTCCAGAGAGAATGTATGACCTAGACTTTTAACTGA